TTTAGTGATAAATATCATTGGTGAACTACAAATATATATATATACTATACTTTAGTGATAAATATCATTGGTGAACTACAAATATATATATATATATATATATATATGATACATTAGTGGTAAATATCATTGGTGAACTACAAGTATATATATATATATGATACATTAGTGGTAAATATCATTGGTGAACTACAAGTATATATATACATATATGTGTATATGTTTTAAAGTTTTCTGAATGGTATGCCATTTGCTTTGAGTGGTTTACCGAATGTAAAACTGTCCCTTGGTAACAAGAAACTTCACACTGCCATTATCATCTACTGAGCTTTAAATTTTACCGAATGTAATGATTTGGTTTACTGTATGCAAAAGTATTCGGTAACAAGAAATTTCGTATTAGGCTCTTAGTTATCGTTCCATTGTTTCCCACTGAACCCGTAGCTGGGGTTTTATCGAAGAATTTCAGGTTTTTATCATTTGCAGCTGAGGGAGAATTTTGAAATTCGAACTAGAATCGAGAAACAATCTTTAACTTGACCGAATAATAAAGTTTGTTTTACGCCATTTTTTTAAGCCCGCGACGTTAATTATACCAAATGACTTTTTTAGCATTAGTTCAGGTTTCCGAAATTTCAACAATAATCAAGAAACGAACTTTAAATGGTACTTAATGGTATGTAGTTTGGTTTACCGATTCGAATTCGACTACATTTAAAAAATAAGACATTTCACAATTGTTTATCGTGTTTGCATACTGTGTTGCTTTTACCGAGCTATTAAGTTTTTAGTCTACATCTACTTGCTCCTGCCCCCCCCCCAGTAGGTCAGGGATAAGTATTTACAAAACTAAAATCCGGGCTTCGATTCCCCGTTGTACACAGATAACCTGTTGTTTAGCAAGACCCAAATGAATCAACATACAGAACTGTTAAGCCTCGTGAGTTTCCGAATCACTTCATCTAAAAGTAAAAGAACCTTGAGTAAGATGAATCTGGACATCGATCGACTATGACGGATGACGAACTGTACTACTTATTAATTATGACATGCGAACAGGACATGGCTGCCGTTTATCGACCAAGCGATGTTTTAAGTAGATGGTTGCCAACTAGGAGGAGATGCATAGCCATCTAGGTTTCTCGAATATTTAATGAAGTAAAGTAAAAAAAACAAAAAGTTGCAAACATAATTCAGCAGAGTCGTGAAACCTGGATATCTGTTTTAGTTTGCTTACATTACAATTTGTAGATTGTGGTTAAAATTTTCCTATTTTTTTTAATGCTATATCTTTTATGTGAAAGCTTGCGAGATGCGACTAGCTAAACTTTTCTATCATTTTTTTTCCTTATCCTTCATTGGGTAAAATATTTGTTTCCAATTCAATATAAATATATGGTTTGGGACAACGGTTGCGACGCAATTGACCCAAAGTGTACTAATAAGAAATCATAAAAAAAGGAGATCGTTTTTTAATGCTTCTAAATTTCATTATTTTGTATCGTATGTTATCTTTAAATGACCTGATTTTTTATCAGAAATAGTAATCTTAAACTTTCGTGGAACTCTCAATAATAAACTTTCATCAAGTTTATCCTCATATTAAGGAGGCATTCAAAAAACAAAAACGGTCTTTAGTTCTTCTTTGTTCTAACAGATGGCACATTTTCCACAATAGCTTCTAGATTGCCTTCTTTCTGGCCAGTAGTTCAAACTTAGGATTGGCTATAGCTGAACCCTGGGGGTCACTGTCTATTTGTGTGTTCTTAAAGCTATACAATGGCCTGCCTGTGCTCTGCCCACCACGGGTATCGAAACCCGGTTTCTAGCGTTGTAAGTCCACAGACATACCGCTGTGCCACGGTGGGGGGGGACAACTTCTGTGAGTATTATCTTACAATTATTGAAAATATGGGCTATTAGTGGATACATATATAAAACGACAAGTTTATTACAACATCCACTCGTTGCAGTCATTCGGAGTCAAAGGAAATATTTACAAAGCACTTAGTGATACAATTTGGAAAAAAAATTAAGAAGCTGTTATTCTTTGTATTTTGTGCAAGTTCATGTTCAGAGAAAAGTGTTTACAAACATCTTAATGAAACAAGATGAAATCTAAATATATAAAGCTTCCTTAAATATTGTTCTGTGTTAAGTATTACAGTCAGAGGATTGATGAGCTAAAACTTCCTCACGTAAACCAGTCTGTAACAACTCTTGCAGTGTAGATAGATGCAATACGGTCTTGTCAGATGTTCTCGGTTCACTAGCTGTTATCCTGCTTTGTCGGGCAATGACTGGTTCAAGTTCATACCAACAAATCCAACTCATAAAAGAACGTTTTGAACCCCTTATAGTATGACTAAGCACTAGGCTGAAAAGGGCGAATGTTGACTCATTTGACCTTTTAACCTTTCACCCTTGTACTTGAGCTGCACTTTATGGCCATTGTTCCATAACATGCGCAAACGTACACTTCTCCGATGAATGGCGTTTCTCCGCCTTGGCATCTCAGATGATTGACACTGCTTGCTGACATTTAACATTGAAAATCCAAGTACTTCCCTCTTCGTTACTTAAGATACAGCGCTACTTAATACACATGGCGGTCTATCGTTTTTATCTATCCTCTGTACATATACATAACATGAAATAAGCTGTTCAAAAATGCTCTTTAATTTATTCTCTGTTGTTAATTTTTAATCATTTATGGCCAGGTTTAAACATACTAGTGGAAATATACGTTCGTCTAGCAAAAACAGAGTAGCGTTTTAAACTTGTTATTTACGCTTGTTTCTGCAATTTCAATTCCTTTGAGAAATCTCGCCTTTTCTACCAACCTGATGAATAAATCATTCATATAGTTGGAGCTGGAAAAGCTTATCTAAATGTGACGTCAGATATTTAACAAGAAAAATCATTGGTTGTTTTGAATGAATTACGCAATATTAAACCAGCGTGCATTGAATTACAACCTTTAGAAAAAAATAAGAAACAACAGGATAAAATTTAGTTTTGATATATGGAGAAGTAACATTTTAATATTCAATGTCAGAGTTTCAAAATATTTCTAAAAACAAGAAGTTTAGAATAAGGTGGCAACTCAAAGAGTTCGTCATGTACGAGCTAGGAATAATTAGACAAAATACGATATTGTTCGGTTAACAAAACATTCTGTTCGTAATTGGTACAAAATAAAAAGTTGAAAAGCGTGGTTTTACCACATAAAGCTTAAACTTCCAACCCGTAATTAGTGGTTATTTGT